ATCCAATTTTACAATCCTATCCTACGTGGAGGAGGCCTAAAGGCACCAGATCCCATGGCTCTTGGAAGCTAAGCAGTGTCAGCCCTGGTTGATACTTGGATGGGAGACTGCCAGCAAATACCGGGTGCTATAAGCTATATTTCAGAGGAAGGAACTGGCAAAACCAGTTTTCTGGGCATTCCTTGCCTAAGAAAACCCTGTGAAATTCATGGGGTCACCATAAACCGACAGGTGGCTTGAAGGTACACACACGGTATAGGATTGCAGTTATTTCAAACTTCAAGTGAACATTTAGAGATACAGTTTAGGCATCCAAAGAAAAGGGGCAGAAAAAGTGACCAAGGGTGTCTATCCACGCTGCAAAATTACACACAAATTGCATATTTGCAGACTGACCCCTCATAGGCCAGAGATACCTATGGGAAATTGGACAAGCAAAGCTCAATGGTCATAGCTTTTCCCAACCTGTGGCCTTGGCAATGTGTTGGACTACAGTTCCCATAATCCCACAGCCAGGGCAGCTCATCCAAAACCAGGGTGACCAGATGTCCTAACCACAAAGGAGGACAAGGCACTGCAAAATGTAGGACATGCAAGAAAAATGTAAGCCATGACCAAATGAAAGCTAAAAACGCTAATATAAATGTATATTCATGCTTCTTAGTCATGATCTATGTGGAAGACATTTTGGAATTCCTCCTTGGCAGAAGGCTGAAATGTAGGACGTGTCCTGGAAAAGGAAGAAGTCTGGTCACCCTGATCCGAAATTGACCCTCTACTTGTAAAAGTAACTCACAGACCCTTTAATATTTCGCAGCTTAAAACTAGGACATGTGTGGCCAAGTGGCATCAGCATGTGCTCAAGTTGGCCAAAATTATGAATGAGGAAGAATAGACATTTTAGGACAAACTGCAGCAGTTTGCTTTTTCCACCATTTTTTCTCCTGTCTCCTTGCTGAGTTAATTCAGTGCAAATTACTTTGGGGTTTACATTTGCAGCAACTGAAGTAAATCTAAGATGGAAGTGGGAGGTAGAAAGGGAAACCGGGACATTTGCAAGCAGTGAAAAAGTGGGATGGCAGAGGATTAATAGGGACTGTCCCTGCCAAATCAGACTATTGAAGGCTATGAACCTATCAAGGGAGCCCTTCTGTGGCTTTTGGTCTAAAAGTTAAGAAGGGTCAGCCCTGGTTAGTACTCAGATGGGAGTACACATGCTCAGAGGCACTGCTGTTTGCTCTTGGAAAGTAACATTTCCAAGCCAGGCCTCAGGCTTTTAAAACTTGGTCGGGGTTTTAATCTTTAGGAAGTACATGCAACACCTATAGAAAGACTGGGAGATGGGGACTTCCACTCAATGCCATTCATACAGTAAAAATAGCCAAAGGTCACTCTTGTCCAGCAACCAAGAAAAAATCATCTAGCAATAGCTAGTCAGGCATTACATTAGCCAGGATGATCACAAACAGGGCAAGAAGGCAACATCTTATGCCATTCTACCAGTTGTCCCCTTTTAACTGATAGCAATCACAAGTACACTGTCCCTGGATATGGAGGCTGCATTAACCACAGGTATACTGCTAAGGGACAGGGAGGCTCCATGAATCACAAGGACAGTACCACTGAATATGGAGGGATGACACCCTTATTGTGCGCTGCCTTAGCTCCCACTCTGAGACCAAAGTGGCATATAAATTAAATAAATGAATAAAATCACTACCATACAAATTAAATAAATAAGTAAAACCACTACCATTGGCAGGAAGAACCCATGAATTGGGTCCAGAGGAAGGCAACCAAAATGGTGAAAGGTCTGGAAGCCATGCCCTATGAGGAACAGTTTAGGGAGTCTGGAGAAGAGAAGGTGAAGGGGGTGACATGATAGCAATGTTTAAATATTTGGAAGGATGTCATATGGACGATGGAGCAGGTTTGTTTTCTGCTCTTCCAGAGAATAGGATGTGAAGCAGTGGATGCAAACCCCAGGAAAAGAGATTCCACTTAAACATTAGGACAAACTTCTTGACATTGAGAGCTATTCAACATTGGAATATGCTGCCTTGGAGAGTGGTGGAGTCGCCTTCTTTGGAAGTTTTTAAAGAGGGGCTGGATGGCCATCTGTCAGGAGGGATTTGATTGTGAATTCCTGCATGTTGGACTGGACTTCCCCTTGGGATCTCTTCCAACTATGATTCTATGAATCTATGAATCACAGGTACACTGCTATTGGGCATGGAAGGTGCATTACTTGCAGGTGCACTGCCACTGAGAGAAAGATGCAAATAATCACAGGTACACTATCCCTGGAAAGGGAAGCCCCATTAACCACAGGTACACTGCCACTAAACGTGGAGGCCCCATCTTACCCAGGTATGCTGCCAATGGGCAGGATAACCCAATAATCATAGATATACTGTGTCTGGATATAGAGGCTCCGTTAATCACAAATAGGCATTGAGATCCCAATGATCAGAGTTCTTTGTTGTTGTTAACTGCTGTCAAGTCAGCAAATCACTATATCCCTTTCTCTTATTCTGTTTTACGCCACCTTAGATAGCACCCTTCAGTCTATTTAGGTTGTCTCCCTTTCAACAGAGTAAGTTCCTCTCTTTTCTGGAGAAAGGGGGCAACAACTCCCAGAATCCCCCAACCACCTGAAGCATGTTGGTTGGGGGATGCTGGGAGTTGTCACCTCCCAAAAGGATCATTCCTGAGCTCCAGGTCTTGAAGCAGCAAATGCCAGAACTCATCTCAATCTGTTTTAGTCCCTTCTGAATGAGCCAGCTGCCCTGGGGCTTGGATTTCAGAGAGAACACAATGCCCACGCACCCCCTTCTGTGTGCCATTTGTAGCTTTTGCACACCTTTGCCGTGTTCCTCTCCTTCTTCCAAATGGAAAGGTTTAGGGGCTTGGCACCTCTGATCTCCTTGTGGGAAAATCCTCATCTTTTTATTCCCCCACTGACTCTCCGGCCAGTTTATGGGGAATTGGGTGACAATAGGGGTGTGTGTTGCGGGTGTGGGGCAGGTCTCACACCTCCACATTTATGGTGCTGAGAATCCCGGTTGGTTGTGTTTTCCCACAAGCTGCTCGCCATCTTAGGGCCACCATAAAAGGTCATAAAATGCCTGATGTTTCCCGGTGGCCCTAAAATTTCTCCTAAACTTGCCAAAGAATAATCCTGGAAGAGCCATTAGACTGCAGACTTTTTCAGCAGCTATTGGAATGCATGTTTGTGTGAAATTCTAATAATGATGACGATAAGCAAAGGGACCTTGTAGCACCTTTGAGAGTAACCGAAAGAAAGAAGCTGGTAGCCTGAACTTTCATAGACTTGAGTCTACTCTTGTCTATGGAAGCTAATGTTACCCACTTTAGTCTCAAAGGTGCTACAAGAGCCCTTTCAATACTGATCTTCAAGACTAACATGGCTAGGTCTTTGAATAATAATAATAATAATAATAATAATAATAATAATAATAATAATCACATTTATTATTCACATTTTATATACCAGATGCTACTGACTTGAAATTTGGACCCTCAATGATTTGGATTCTATTAAGAATCTAGGAATCAATGAGATATCATCTAATTATAATGTCTTCCTCTTCCTCCTCTTCTTCATCTTCAGCTCTCTTTCACAGTCTACCAGGTCTTACTAACTGGAATTTTGGATTCTATCAAAAAATCTAGGAACTGGTGATTTGTGTTCAGACAATGTGGCATGTTCCAAGCAGGATCACTTTGTGTCATTGTGCTACTGTGATCCTTTGTTGTTATAGGAATAACATGTTAAATGAATAACTCTATGAATGAGAGACCTGGGCCTCATCTGCATTGGAGAAATAATCCAGTTTGGTGCCACTTTAACTGCCATGGGTCAATGCTATTAAATTCTGGGATTTGTAGTTTGTTGTGGCACCAGAGTTCTCTGGCAGAGAAGGCTAAATATCTCACAGGACTATAATCCCCAGAATTCCATAGCATTGAGACATGACAGTTAAAGTGGTGTCAAACTGGATTATTTCTTCAGTGTGCCAGTTCCTTCCTCTGAAATATCACCTACAGCCTTGGTATTCATTGGTGGTCTCCCATCCAAGTACTAACCAGGGCTGACCCTGCTTGCCTTCCAAGATCAGATGGTGCCTTTGGGTATTTAGGTCCTCTGCCTTCTACTTTACCAAGCATTATTGTCTTTTCCAAACAGAGCCAGTGTGGCATAGTGGTTGGAGTGTTGGACTACGATTTTGGAGACCAGGGTTCAATTCCCAGCTCATCCATGAACCCACTGGGTGACCTTGGAGAAGTCACACTCTCTCAGTCTCAAAGGAAGGCAATGGCAAACCACCTCTGAGCAAATCTTGCCAAGAAAACCCCATGATAGGTCCTTCTTGGGGTCACTATAAGTTGGAAACCACTTGAACGCACACAACACACACACAATCTCATTATATGTCCAAAGTACGATAGCCTTGGTTCAGTCCTCTAGAAGCCCAGTTCAGGCTCCAAGCCTTTGGTTTGTCTTTTTGACAATCTTTGGACAGAGAGCCTGAGCCTTCCCCCCAACGGTTGCCTTCCACAAGGTCCTGCTGGCTGAGGGATAATGGGATTTGTAGTTCAAAGACATCCAGAGGGCACCATGTTGGGGAGGGCAGCAGGTGGACCAGCATCAGCTGAGGTCAAGCAGTGGCAGCTGGTGTGACCCGTATCAGTGGGGAAAGGAAGGGCAGTGAATCCGTTCCTGGTTCCAGTCCAAACTTGAGTGGTGCCAAACCCATTTTGCTGAGAAAGTTTGGTGCCTTGTTGAGAAGACTCAGAATCCGAGAGTCCCTTTCAAGTTTGGACTTAAGCCCAGAGCAGATCCACTGCCAGTCAACTCTAAAGCGTGGAAGGAGTGAGCTGTCACTTTCTTCCTTCCTTCCCAGTTCATTTGTTTGAGGATGGATGGATGGAGAGAATAAAATATGCAGGAGTGTGGGAGAATTCATGGCCCCTTTGTTCCCCAAAGGAGAGTTAAGGAAGCCTCTCCAGAATTAGATCCTTCGCTTGCATAATCCTTTCAGTCATTCAGGGCCTGTACATTAGTAAGTGAATGAGTTTTCTCCCTGGAGGTTGGCTAAATTAAAACAGGGGCCTTTGGGGCTTCATTGATCTAAACCTTTGGGATGCCCCTTGCATTATTTGGGGTGGACATCACAGCTTGGCTTCCAAAAAAAAAAAAAAAATACCCCCTTGGTCTTCTGAGAAAGGATATTTTTTTAAAATCCCTTTCATCCTTTTCTACTTTGCATCTGGTTTTGTTTGTTTAGATATTTATTTTGTATTAAAATAAATGTCTTATACTATAAAACTACTAGACGATAAAGACACCCTAGCTGGCTTGAATCCCATTTTGGGAGAAAAGTGGAATATAAATCCAATCAATCGATCAATCCACATAGAATGGAAATACATAATACAAAAAGACAAATATGCAAAAGCAGCGCTAAACATAAAATTAAAAATATCAAAAGTTCCAAAGTTAATAAAGGGGGGAGAAAGTAATCCTGAGTCCCAACTTTTCAACTAATGGTGATGCACAGAGTGATACTTCCTCTATTGTCAATCTCTTGCCTTGAGTTTCTGTCATTTGTTAATCTAACTAATCTTCAAACCCAGCTATTGAAAATTTCCCCTGCTGCATCTTCAAGAAAGCAATTCATGGTTCCCAGTCTTTCTTAAAACTGCTCAGAGATTTCTCTATCATTTAAAAGGTCAGTTTATCCATCTCAGCCAAATCATACATTTTCCATCTCCAATCCTTCAATGGAGCATCTTGTCCTGCAATTTTTATGCATTTAGAAGTATTGCAGCTGTTTGCATCTGGTTTTGCTGAGTTATAGATGCTGACTTGCTTTTTAAATACCTTTTGCTACTGGTTTTACCTTGGTTTTTATCATGCGCTGTCTCCCTACCTGTTGTTTGTGGCTTGTGGGTACAATTCCTGATGTGTTTGAACACTTATCTGGAGTGCTTTTGTTACTGGAGGGTTTAAAATGGCAGAGGCTTGGGACTCCTCTTCTATCCTAATTTCTATTAATCTTTATTTTCATGTAGGGTTGCCAACCGATTGAGAGGAGGTAGGAGCCAGTGTGGCATAGTGGTTTGAGCATTGGACTGTGACTCTGGAGACCAGGACTCAATTCCCACTCTGCCATGAAATTCACTGGGCAAGTCACATGCTCTCAGCCTCTGGGAAAGGCAATGGCAAACCTCCTCTGAACAAATCTTGCCTTAGCGTCCCCATAAGTCAGAAAGGACTTGCAGGTATACAACACACACATATGCACACATACAGCCTTGGCCTGCTCTTGTCCTTTTTGCAGAAATTTGCAAAATGTGACTATAGGAGAACTATAATCTTATAAACACAGGAGTCCTGGGAGGGGGAAAGACCTGGCAATCTTTTAAAATCCCATTCACTTTGATGAAAGCCCTACTGATTTTAGCACACTGTATCCCAAAATGTGACAACTAGATGGTAATGCAATTAGAATAGAAACATTAGAAACAGATCTCAGCAAAAGTATCATTATAACTGTATTTAAAAAAAGCTCATATGTAATAATGCCAAAATTATTAAGGTCAGGGATATCAGTATCTTGGGGATAGAAACTGTATTCCATTTCTATTGGGAAACTCCCTGTTTTGCATTGCCATTCTTTTTAATACCTCCTAACTGTCCCAGTTTGGCAGGGACAGTCCTGATTAATCCTCTCCAATCCCACTTTCTCAGCTGCTGTTAAAATGTCCCAGTTTCTTTCAATTCATTAATACCCTTGTAAAGCCACCTGATCTAAGGGGATTGAGAGCTGCTTCTTGTAGTAATGAGTCCCATATACAGTATTTTAAGATGCATTGTGTTAAAAAGGACTGTCTTCTGCCTGTCCTCCATTTCATAGGATAGATGTGGAAGCTGAACATCTACTTGAGAGAGAGTGAAGGAAAAGATTGATCCCCACAGTCACTCCCTATAATTATGTATATGTTTGCCAGTGTAATTCCTCCACCACTATCCCAATTTTTAAAAATCAAAACCAGTTAAATAAGAAGGATCTCAGGATTGCTGTCAATCATCAGGTTAGCATGAGCCAGCAGTGTGATGCTGTTGCAAAAAAACCCAAATACAATTGCAGGCCACAGTTTCAAAGTCCTGGTTTCCAAGCAATGGAAAGTAAGGAATCCTCAAGGAATTATTCTATTTTATTCCACAATAGTCAGCCTTCAATATATCTTCATCTGGTATATTGTGACCAGCTCTGTAAGAAAGATTTTACAAAAGATTAAAAAGTTTGGAGGATAGGAAGACATGCGAGGGAAGGTTCATGGAACTGGATATGTTTAGTGTGGGGTAAAGAGGACTGTGGCAGTGAGGGAACATGTCATAGTATTATAGAATTATAGAGCTAGGAGGGAACTCAAGGGTCATCCAGTCTAACCCCTGCCCATTCAAGAATCCATACCTAATGTATCCCTAAGAAGTGGCCATATAACCTTTGCTTAAGAAGGAGTGTCAACCATCTCTCTAGGTAGTCTATTTTGCTGTTGAACAATTCTTGCCCTCAGGAAGATCTTCCTCATCTTAAAACAGAATATCCTGTTTTCTAATTTGAATCTGTTGGTTGAGATCTTATTCTGCATATGCACCTGAAGCAATATTGTACAGAACAGTGGCTGGATCATTCTTGGAGGACAGGAGAAGTCCCAGCAGCCATCTTCAAAAGGCGAATTGCAACTGAAATGACAAAAGGTCTGAAGACCTTCATGCCCTATGAGGAATGGCTTAAGGAGCTGGGCATGTTTAACTTGGAGAAGGTAAGTATGTAGATAGAGAGATCTTGTAGCACCTTTGAGACTATCTGAAAGAAAGAAATTGGCAGCAAGCTGCAAGATCTCTCTGCATACTGATTCTACAGACTAACACAGCTATCTCTTTGGAGAAAGTAAGATTGAGAGGTGACATAGAAAAACTTCATGATGGTAAGAGACATTTGGTCATAGAATGAACTGCTTCAGATGGTGGCAGAGGTCTTTAAACAGAGGTTAAAGTGTCATCTTTTGGGAGTGCTTTAGTTGTGTATTCCTGCATGGCAGGGGGCTGGTCTAAATGACCCTTGGGGGTCTCTTCCAGCAGTAAGAGTCTATGAACCTTTTGTATCATACATACAATCAACTAGGCTTATCAAAAAAAGCTTGGGTCCTACCAAGCACATGTATATATTCACAAGCATTTTGTCATTACTCTGTGATCCTATAAAAAGGAGGAACAGGAAGAGGAAGAGGGAGGAATATTGAGTTTACTTTTATGATGAACTGGTATATATTTTATTATGAGCTTTCATGGAGATCAGCATGAAAGTTCATGCTAAAATGTATATAACAGTATTAAAGTTCCTACTAGATTCTCCCCCCTTTCCTTTTTTTCCTTTTTAAGCTGCAACAGGCCAACAAAACTATTTATTTAAAAACTGTTTCCATGATCCCATGATTCATTTAAATAAGGGGGGTTGCAGACTGCCAGAAATAGTGCAAATTGGGTCCACTTTAAGGGTTAGGTTTTGTGCTAGGGAATCATGGGAATATTTTTTTTCTGAGACATTGAACCTTCTCTGTCAGAGAGCTCTGGTGCCACAAGAAAATACAGTTCCCATGATTCCCTAACCCTAACCCTAACCCTAACCCTTAAAGTGGACTCAGTTTGCACTATTTCTAGCAGTCTGCAAAGGCCCTATGACTCTGGAGACCAGACTTGGAATCGCAGCTTGGCCATAGGGGAAACCTACTGGGTGACCTTGGGCAAGTTCCATTCTCTCAGCCTCAGAGGATGGTCATGGCAAAAAACTCTCAGAAGAAATTTGCCAAGAAAAACCTCCTGATAGGGTTGCCTTAAGGTTGCCATGAGTCAGAAACAACTTGAAGGCACACAGCAATAAATCTAATGAGGGGATTGTTGCTGTTGTTGTTTTTTGGAGTATTTCAAATTTTGGAATTCCAGATAAGGGAGATTCAACCGGTAACAAATATAAGAATTCTAGATGTGAAAGATGTTCCACGTCACTCTCTCTCTCTGGAGTGCTGGAAAAGTCACTTTGGGTGGGACAGCATTCCCATCTGGAGGGGCCCTGCCCTCCTTTTGCCCGCTGGCCAAGCGAAAGGCAAGGAAGAGGAGGAGATCTTGAGTTGGATGGAGCCCTCTTCCCTTTGCAAAGGGTGGGCCAGAGGGCCAAGTGTGTGGGGCACG